TTGTGTTCTGTTAGTCCACAAGCGCAAGATCGAGGGCGGTGAGGAATATTTAAATTAATAAACTTAATTGGCATTTGGATATGCCACTGGGCTATTCCATATCATATCACATCATGTCCAGTATATAGTGAGGGGCTCTTCCTCTCTTGCTCTCTCTGGCTCTCGCTCAGGCTCTCGCTCTTCGGGATTGCGGTTTCGGTTCGGGATTGTCGCTCCTCTGGGATCGTTATCTGGGAACGGGCCGGTCTCGGTCAGTGGGTGGTGAGCTGTTTAATATCAATATTATTTTAAATTTTCTTTTATTTCAATTATTAAATTGTTATTATCTCAATCTACGAGTCTGCTCACCCTTGCCCACCAATTCTCTCTCCTATCGCCTTGGGGAGGATTGGGTGGGTGAATGGCTGTGTTGGCTCCTGGCCAAGTGCTACCCCAGTGAAACCACCACAATAGTCCATTGATGTCAAAACAGCTATTTTTTTTTTTTTTAATTATTAGTGTTTGGGGATTTTAAACAATTTTTAACTGTTTTTTTTACCTGTTAGTGTGGCAGAGTTTGGACTGTAATTTGGTTATGATTTGTGTAATTGTGTTTCTTCTCTTGCAGGAAATACTGCATTACATGACTGTGCAGAATCTGGAAGTTTGGAGATCATGAAGATGCTTCTCAAGTATTGTGCTAAAATGGAAAAGGACGGTTATGGAATGACTCCCCTTCTGTCAGCTAGCGTGACAGGGCACACAAATATTGTGGACTTCCTGACCCAGCATGTACAGACCAGTAAGGCTGAGCGCATTAATGCTCTGGAACTTCTAGGAGCAACGTTTGTGGACAAAAAGAGAGATCTACTTGGTGCTTTGAAATACTGGAAGCGAGCTATGGAAATGAGATACAGCGACAGGACTAATATCCTGAGCAAACCTGTGCCACAAACACTAATTATGGCTTATGATTATGCTAAAGAGGTAAACAGCTCAGAAGAGCTAGAAAATCTTATTGCAGACCCTGACGAAATGAGAATGCAAGCACTATTAATTAGAGAACGTATTCTTGGCCCTTCTCACCCAGATACATCCTACTATATTAGATACAGAGGTGCTGTCTACGCAGACTCTGGAAACTTCAAGCGTTGCATCAACTTGTGGAAATACGCTTTGGACATGCAGCAGAGTAATCTTGATCCGCTGAGCCCTATGACAGCCAGCAGCTTACTATCATTTGCTGAGCTTTTCTCCTTCATGCTGCAGGACAGGGCGAAAGGCCTGCTAGGTACTACTGTCACATTTGATGATCTCATGGGTATACTGTGCAAAAGTGTTCTTGAAATAGAACGGGCCATGAAGCAAACCCAGTGTCCTCCTGATCCAATACAGCTGAACAAAGCCCTTTCCATCATTTTGCATTTAATTTGCTTGTTGGAGAAGGTACCTTGCAGCTTAGAACAGGAGCATTTTAAGAAGCAGACTATTTACAAGTTTCTTAAGCTTCAGCCTAGGGGGAAGAATAACTTCAGTCCGCTTCACCTTGCTGTTGACAATAATACTACATGTGTGGGTCGCTACCCAGTTTGTAAATTCCCTTCTCTACAAGTTACTGCTATCCTGGTGGAATGTGGTGCTGATGTAAATGTCAGAGACTCTGATAACAACAGTCCACTACACATTGCTGCACTGAACAACCATCCAGACATCATGAATCTTCTTATCAAGTCAGGTTCACACTTTGATGCCACCAACTCACGTAAACAAACTGCTAGTGATTTGCTGGATGAGAAGGAAATAGCAAAAAATTTAATCCAGCCCATAAATCATACTACGTTGCAGTGTCTTGCTGCTCGTGTAATAGTGAATCATAACATATGCTACGCAGGGCACATCCCTGAGAAACTAGAGAACTTTGTTTTGCTCCACAGATGATAGTGTGGAGTCCCAGTCTGAAGCACGACTTGGTGATGGTATTTTCCTTGAGCACTGTTGTGACACACCAGCGTTCCTTTAGCTTGCTCCATCTTGCTCTCGTTGGCTGAAGTGTTGTTAGTATCAGATCTGCAGAGTTGGTTACCCAGTATTTAATATGAAAATGCCATATAATATATTTTGTGCATTATTTAGAAATGTAATGCCATATTTAGACTCTTAAAATTGTCTGCCAAAGGCTTGTCTGTTCTGGTCTTATTTGCCTGTTGGGTGTTTGGGACTGAATTGAGTGTTTTCCACTGATGTCTTTTTACTGTAACTGTTATGTGGATTTTATACAGTTGTAAGGTCATCTTTTTTGGTTTTGCTTGAGCGTTTCTACTCTAACTCTATTCTTTTTTTATGGACTCATTGCTAAACTGTACAAGTTGTATGGACTTGTTAACATTTGCAACTACCATAAGTGCTTTTATCTTCTCTATGCACTGGCTTAAACATGACTGTTGTGTGTGAGCATATTTCTATGCAGCACTTGGCCAATTTTAACTTAAATGCCAGTTTTGTTTTGCAGTTTGTTTGGAGCTTTTTTTTTGAGAATGGTGTCTTCCTAGCATGATGAATTTTGGAGTTACTTATCAGCTCTCCAAACTTCGGTTTGACTTTTTTGACTGCTGTAACTGAGGTTGCTTTCCTTTTGATCCTCTGGAAATTTGTGAGAAGAAAATGTTGCTTTTTCTCATTGTAGTCCACTCGAACTCTAAATCTGAAAATCATTTTGTTGCACCATGCAGTTAGGGGAAGAGTCTTCGTTATGTACAACTGACATATTCCCCTTTGCAGTATGTCTTGCTTGTGCTGGTTACATGACTAGATGTGAAGTTTGCTCAAAGTTTAACCTCAAACTTAATGATACACTTTAATGAGAAATAGATCAAATGTATGCTGTAGTTTAAAATTTACAAATCAACTTTAGCTACAAAAGAAACTAAAGCATGTTGGTGGCATGATGCTTATCAGACCAGATCTAGACATCATCTAACATATTAAGTGGCTGTATGCCAGGGTATTGGAAGTTCTATAGCAGTGTCCTTTTTTTCTTCATTTTAAATATCTTCTTTATAAAGAACTTGCATGGCTTTTTCATCTCTACTGTGTCAGCTATACTTAACAAAAAACAGAAGTTCTGTTGTGTATATAGCTCCTAATTAAAGTACCTATTTTTATAATATTTGCACAACAGCTTAGCTTTTACAATGGAAAGGGCTCTTTTGACTTGATAAGAAATCTATAAATGAAGATCATAAATGTGAGTGCGATTCAGGTAGTTAATATAATTCAGCACTTTACTGTTGATTAATAGTAGAATTTATTATGGCACATTAGCCCTGCAAATGTCTTAAAGTGAAATTCATTTCTGTTGGATAGAATACAGTTCACTTGCAAGTTCAGTGGTCTAGCATATTGGATATTTTTGACTTGATGTTTCATTTCAGTGGTGGGCAGTAGGTGCACTTCTGGGGTTCTTGCTCCGGAATTTCAACAAGTTGATTTAGGGCTTTGTCAGTGATAGAGATATTTAGAAACCAAAACAGTTAGATAAAGGCAAAGTTACTTTAGGCGATTCGTTTTTATTTTTATTTTTTAAGTTGATGTTGGAACATTTTTGTTGTTTGTGAATTAAGCTGAGGAAGAATGTATCTGGGGAGCACATAAGAATAGTTCTTCCTTGGTTTTGGGCTGCTTTGGTTTTCCTGTTAGTGTACAACATGGTGCCTACTAGCTTATCCTATCCGTTCTTAGGAAAAATATGGGGATGTTTTTAAACAAAGATATGTTGAAAACAGTGCTGTTTGTGTGTTGCCACTTTCAGACTCTGTATTTTGAAGCAACTTTCACTTGTTTGTCTACACTTGTTTGCCACGTCTACATTGTATGAAATTATGAGAATGCGGAAACCTTGTTAGTTTCTCTTGCAAATACACAGGAGTAAAATTCTATTCAATTGGCTGAGTTTCTCTGATTTGTAATGATTAAAACATATGCCACTCAAGTTGTCATTTGTGAGAACATGTAGTTTGATTTTTAAAATTATTTTAAAAAATATTTTCATGCTTTTCTACTGCTCTGTAAGTAGGGATAATGAATAAATGACACTATGCTAGAAATTATCAACATTATACTTCAAGTCATAAAAATAGTTATTTTTCTGTGGGTCACAGAGAAAGGGATTTTTAGATTTTTATACTCTGGAATCTGCACTGGTTTTAGTTTAAATTTCTGTCTTGATAACTGTCAAATACCTTGATTAAAATTAGTTTGATGTTTTTAGTCCATAAATATAGTCTAAAAATTGATAATAGTTCGCATATATTTGAATGGAAAACATTCGCAAAAGAGAAAGCATGTTACTATTAAATATAGGTAGATGTAGTGCAAATTGCTACAAGGAAGGCTTATTTTGTTAGCTATTCTTTAAAAACGAACCAGTTTAATAGGATGTACTGATTTATCATATGTAGCTCTGTCTAAATATATACCAATGTGCATCAGTCCTAAATACCATCACCTCCTTGCAGAATTTAATTTTTCATGCTGATGTGGCTATCTGCCGGACTCTCACCTTTCCAGAAACTTAAGACTGTAGGTGTCCAGGTGGATGAGTTCTTGCATTTAACACCATTTTCCATTTGGCCTGTATGTTTACATTACCCAGTTTACATTTTCTTAATTTTAAAATGAATTGGTACAGAGCCCCTGCTGGGTAGTGTGTTTGCGATCATTCGGGATTTGCTGATTGGGAGGGAGGGGTGGGACAGCAAGCCCTGTCTGAGATGCATGTGCCACTAAGGCCAGTGCTAGTGGGCACTGGCAGGTTTGCCCCCTTGGCCTCTAATCAAATGAGTTTTGTCTCCACCTCAGTATAGATGCCAACTTTCTGGACCAGATTTTTTTTTTTTTTCATTCTTACTCTTGTTATTCATTCACAGGTGGAATAAGTTTATTTCAGTGAAATATGGAGATGCAAAATGCAGTCATGTTGCTAGCTGGACTCAAACTGTGGTGAGGACAAGGAACTAAAGAGCATTCAGAACACAGAGTTGTTTTATTTTTGTCATATTTTTAACTTTTCCTGTTCTTCTCTTTTTCTTCCTCCTTGGTCTTTTTTTCCTGATTAAATGTCCTTCTTCTAAGATACCAACACAAAAAAAATATTGAGAACACTGCAGAAAAAATTGTATGCCCTGCAGAGGTGAAACAGGTTTTAAGTGATTAAACAATTTCCAGGTATCGCTCCCTAGAGACAAATATGCTGATGCCTCCTTGCTTGTTGAAACCTCTGAAGTTGTATTTTTTGAGGTAGGGTATAAATACTCAAAGCAGTTTTTCTTTTAATCATCTTGAGTTTCAACTGAAATACTTCAGCCAGGAAGATGCAGTGTTCTCATTAAAACATGAAATGCTTTTCTTACCAAATTCTAAAATTGTATGCCTGTTTTTGTATCACTTATGCTGGTAATAAGATTCCAGCTGTGCGTGGAAGTGCAGTGTAAAGACACTTTATGAAATGCAAGGCAACAGTGTGGTTAGTTGTCCGTATATACTTTATAACAGTCCCTGGAAAGGAAGTAATTCTGTGTATTTCTTAAGTCCCCAAACAGCTCTCTTTTAACGGCAGTTTTGCAACTGGTTAAAATTAACCTCTGTCCATTTTTACAAAACACTACTTTAAAAAAAGGAATAGAGTGCTGTAGCAAAATCCTTACAAGAGGGTTTATAAAAAGATAAAAACATTATGAGGAAAAAATGTGCATCTCTGCATTTTTATATCAACTACAAGGTGACAGTGTCAGGTTATGACTGTTCTTGAAATAGCTTCCACATGCTTTGAAATAGGGTGGAATGCCTATAGGATCACTAAATTGGTGAAGGGCTTAGAGGGGAAGCCGTACGAGGAGAGGCTGAAGTTGCTTGGTTTGTTCAGCCTGGAGAGGAAGAGACTGAGAGGAGATCTCATCATGGTCTATAACTTCCTCACAAGGGAAAGA